TTGAGTTTTCGCTAACCTCTATGACAAGTGATTCCACTATTTTTTATTCATATATTTTTATTTTGGATTCTGAATTATGTGGTACAATTTTGTATAGGCTGGGATTCCCCGCCCCCAAACTCCCAGCCCCAACACTATCAAAACTATTTTTCCAATTAATTTCATAAATCGTGTATAATCTTAATACCAAATTCTTAAATTAAAGAAATGCAAAAGTTAATATACAAATAGATGTGTTAAAAATCTTTAGTAAAATGTTGACAAATACAAGTAAATAAGTTCTGTTTTAAGCATTCATTGTTAGTTCCATATCAGGAAATTTACCAGCAGATCATATGATCATACCAGTAGGTGCTGAGAAAGTGTGATAAAATCAACCATTTCTTATTAAAAAATTGGAGGAGCAATATGTATAAATCATTCCAACATTGTAAGATATCTGTAAAAACAAAACAGTGTCCAGAATACAATTTCAGCTATGAGATGATCAAACTGTTCTTAGGAAAATCTGGTGTAAGGTAGTGATGATTCAACATTGTAAATGTTTTAGTGCAATCAGTAAGATAAGGAAAGCACAAACATTGAAAAAGAGATAACTTCGTTTCTTTTTGCTGATGATAGATGTATTCCTGGAAAATGTGACTCTCAAGTTTTGCTCTGATATAGAATGTAAAATATAGTTACAAACTTGAATTTTGTAAAGCTAACTTTGCTATGTAATATCTAAACTAAGATAGAAACATCACAAGAAAACTATATACCACATCCCTCGTAAGAATAAATGAAAAAATGTTCAACACAGTATTAGCATATTGAATGTAGCAATCCCAGAAAAGTTCATTCATGGGAAAATTGAACTGAAAGAATAAGGGGTCCATGCTGTGGCACAGTAGGTGAAGCTGCCACCTGCAGCATGGGTATCCTCTGTGGGCACCAATTCATGTCCTTGTTGCTTGACTTTTTTTTTTAAGATTCAGTTTTATTGGAAAGGCAGATTTACAGAGAAAAGGAGAGACAGAGAAAGATCTTCCGTTCACTGGTTTACTCCCCAAGTGACCGCAGCAGCTGGAGCTCAGCCGACCTGAAGCCAGGAGCTTCTGGATCTACCATGCAGGTGCAGATTCCCAAGACATTGTGGCATCCTCTGTGCTTTCCCAGTCTGTGAGCAGGGAGCTGGATCAGGAGCAAAGCAGCCGGGACACAAACTGGTGCCCATATAGGATCCTGGCACTTGGAGGTGGAGGATTAGCCAACTTTGTAGCAACAAAACCAACAGCATCTCAGAACTGTCAAAACTACTTAAGCAATACCTTTAGAACATTCTTCTCTTCATTGGGGTTTCTATTCCTGGTACTGATGTAGTTTGACAGCTTGGAGTTGCCCCTTCCTGTTTCCTTCCCCCCTCTCTCCCACCTTCATATAGGAGAAAAGGAAGAAAAAGAAACTTGGAAGAATTTGTTTCACCCGCCTTCCCCCTCCCCACTCTAATCAGTGGTACTCATGGGCATTCATCCTTGTGACCTATATAAACAACGTCAAAAATAAAAGTAAATTTTGTGAAGTTTCTTTTTTAATGGGCTGGTGCTATGGTAAAGCTAGTGGGACTGCTCCCTGTGGTGCTGTCATCCCATATTGGTGCTTGTTTGAGTCCCAGATGTTCCGCATCTGATACAGTCTGCTAATGATGTGCCTGAGAGGGTGGTGGAGAATGGGTCCCTGCACAGGAGATGCAATGAAATTTCAGGTTCCTGGTCCCTCTTACTCTCTATAAAACTCTGCCTTTCAAAAGGATAGCTGAATCTTTGAAGAAAAGAAAAGCATTTATTTTTAAGGCCGAGTTATATAGTGCAGAGGGTAGTGGGGTGTTTGGGGAATGGGAGAATTCTTCTGTCTGCTGAATTACTCCCCAAATGGCTGGAATGTCCAAGACTCTGCCTGGCCTAAGCCAGGAGCCTGGATCTCCCACATGGGTGGAGAGGCCCAAATACTTGGGCCGTCTTCCAGTAAGTTCCCACATACATCATCAGGAAGCTGGATCAGAAGTTGAGACTCCAGTTGGCACCCACAGTAGATGCCTAATTTGCAGGTAGCTGCTTAATGTGCTGTGCCACAACACTGGCTCCCAAAGTGTGTATTCAAATCACTGAACAAAGTTTTTGTACCTTGAATTATATGACGTACTCAGTACACAAATATAGTAGAATCAGCACAACTAAAAAATGAGCTAAAGATTTGAACAGACATTTCACCAAAGATGACATATGTGTGATTCAACACCTTCAATCATTAATGCAATTAATAGTCTGATATTCCCATACACTTATTCATTTGGCTCAAAACAAAGCAAAATACCACTGCAAGGTTTCCTATGTGGGTAGCAGGAAGTCAAAACACTTGAGCCCCATCTGCTGCCTCGCAGGTGCATTACCAGGGAGCTGCATGGGCAGGTGCATTACCAGGGAGCTGCATCTGCTGCCTCGCAGGTGCATTACCAGGGAGCTGCATCTGCTGCCTCGCAGGTGCATTACCAGGGAGCTGCATCTGCTGCCTCGCAGGTGCATTACCAGGGAGCTGCATCTGCTGCCTCGCAGGTGCATTACCAGGGAGCTGCATCCGCAGCAGAGCAAGCAGGATGCAAAGCTGCATGTTGATATGGGCATCTCCAGCCGTGGCCATTGCTTAATCTGCTGTGCCAAAATGTCCATCTATGATTGATAATTTTATTTTGAAAATTTTTTGCTTGACCCTTCCTAATATTTGTTACTTCTCTGCAATTATTTATGTATTTCCTTTGTTATTTTGGTATAATTTGTAAATTAGCATTGTCAATCAGTTTAAAATAGAAATTATGTCTAGATGTTTAGCAAGCACACTTAAGCTTTTTATCAATATCAAAACTTAAATAGTTCTTTTTAATTTAAAGATGTAACAATTTTTGATGGTTTGCTAAACTTACTTTATATGTAGATATTATATACTTACCTTCATTTTCTCTTGAAAATAAGAATATCACAAAATGTAGAATTCGTGACAATCATAAAGTAAGGAAATTAGGCTATATTGTCATGCACATTTATAATTCAATGAACCAGTGTCTATAATTATGTTCAAGATAATATGACATCCATACAATTTTTATACTCTACATATTAAGTTTTACAAATGAAAGTATTTGTCTTTCTGGCCAAGCTTATGAATTTCCCATCATTTTGTCGCAGATGTCCAAATTTCAGTCTTATTGTAGCTGAATAATATTTCATTGTGTACATATACCATGCTTTACTTAATAGTTGATAGACATCTGAGTTAATTCCATGTTTTTGTTTTCAAAAATTAAGTAGTTCTGTCAGTCCTGTCCTGCCATGTGCAAGACAATAGTTTTCATTTTCTTCCTTCTTTACTAATTAAATTTTTTTTTTCTACAATGGAAGCATGGTGTTATGACCTTCCTAGCTTTTTTAAAAAAAGATTTATTTATTTTTGTTACAAAGTCATATACAGAGGAGGAGAGACAGAGAGGAAGATCTTCCTTCCGATAATTCACTCCCCATGTGAGCGCAACGGCCAGTACTGCGCAGATCTGAAGCCATGAACCAGGAACCTCTTCCGGGTCTCCCATGTGGGTGCAGGGTCCAAAGACTTTGGACCGTCCTCGACTGCTTTCCCAGGCCACAGGCAGGGAGCTGGATGGGAAGTGGAGCTGCCGGGATTAGAACCGGTACCCATATGGGATCCCGGCACGTTCAAGGCGAGGACTTTAACCACTAGGCCACTCCGCCAGGGCCCTACTAACTAAATTTTAATAATGTAAGCTGAAAATTTAATTTCAGGCTGTTCTTTTTATGTTATATGTCTTCTATGTTAATGTGTGGAAAACCCTTTCACTTGTATCAACTAAATCAACAATGATTACTTAGCCTTAAATTTAAGTAAAATTTATTGAAAACTTTTTACTATTTATTAGATGCTTTGCCTTTCTTTTCTAATAATGTTATTTTTATTAAAATTATTTAAACTTTCTTTTGTCCAGAAATGTAGGAATCTTTTCCCTCTTAAGCTTGAGGTAGCTTGTCTAAGTTTAGAATTTTAGGATCACAGTCATCCCTCAGAATTTGAGCTCTTGGAATAAAGTCCTAGTGGCTAAGTCGTCGCGTTGCATGTGCCAGGATCCCTTATGGGAGTTGGTTATTGCCCCAACTGCTCCATTTCCCATCCAGCTCCCTGATTGTGACCTGGGAAGGTTGTAGAGGACAGCCTTGGGACCCTGCACCTGCGTGGGAGACTCCAAGGAGGCTCCTTCCTGGCTTGTGGCTGCAGATCAGTTCCGCTCAGGCTGTTGCGTGAGTGGGCCAGCTGGAGAGTGGGCCAGTGGATGGAGGATCTTCTCTCTGTCTCCTTCTCTTTGTAAATCTGACTTTCCAGTGGAGATAAATGTATCTTTAAGAAAAAAATTAATTTGATAAACATTGCTGATTTGACATGAAACATTTTACATAGCAGATTAGAGATCTGATGTCTATTTAAAGGTCTTTCATTGGTTAGAAACCTGATATTTTTTTTTCTGGAAACCTAGGTGGTTCTTATTTTTACAATTCAAAATTTTCACCCCAGTAATTGTCTAAGTTTCTTAACATTGTGATCAGTCTTACGAAGATTTTATGTGTCTTTTAGAGTAGAAAATCAAGGCTTTGTTTGGGAAAATGTCTTGTTGCTTGATTCAACATTCTTTGTCAATTTTGAAATCATTTTTTGCGGGTATTGATAGATGTTTATAATGTGGAAATTAAATGTAGCAATTGTAGTATTGCTGTATGGGAAGAGTCAAAATAACTGCTGTAGAAAGGATAGTAGTGATTATATAGATCCTAAGAACTGATTGATAGGTGAAAATAGATAAATGTATGAATGCTTGCATGAAACAACAAAGTGCTCATTTGAGTAGCTTCTGAAAAATGGGTGAGAGTTTCTGTCACATTATTTTGGAACTTCTTCAATTCCAGGACCGGAAGTTAACCAAAGCTGAGCAGCAGCGCTTCAAGGAAGAAGCAGAGATGTTGAAAGGTCTCCAGCACCCCAATATAGTTCGGTTTTATGATTCCTGGGAATCTACAGTAAAAGGAAAGAAATGCATCGTGTTAGTGACAGAGTTAATGACTTCAGGAACCTTAAAAACGTAAGTTGACTGTAATAATGTCAATGAGGTTTTATTTGAAGCTAATTTTCAGCACTAATAGAAGTTGCTTATGAGTGAATATTGTTTTTTTGCAGGAATTGCCAAGATTTACATCTAATGAATATGTTAGGAATTGGAACATGTTAATGAGAGAATATGATTTCATTTTAAAGCAATTTTAAATTTTATTTGAAAGACAGAGTTAGGGAGAGAGAGTTTTGGTAGTGGGGAGAACACTTCCACCCACTAGTTCACCCCCCAAATAACTGCAGTGGTCAGGGCTGGCCCAGACTGAAGCCGGGAACCTGGAACCAAGCTGGGTCTCCCAGGTGAGTGGCAGGGGTCCAGATACTTGAAGTATTTGCTGCTGCTGCCTCAGGCACAATCGCAGGGAACTGTTACGGAAGTGAAATAGCTGGTACTCAACTGATACCCACATGGGATGCTGGTGTCACAGACAAAGGCTTAATTTGCTGCACCACAGTGCCAGCTCTTATACTTTCATTTTGTAAAAGATAATGTTTGGGTATTTGTCCAGCATCACAAATTTACTAAACAGTAGTATGTGATTATAGTCTTTGGTTTTGAACCTCAGTTTTTCATGTTGTAGTATAATTACTTGTAAATGCAAAATGTGAGGTATATGAGCATTTTTCAAAAAGTTTGTGGAAAATGTATTATGAAATATGTTATTATAACAAGTAAAAGTAGGAAAAGGATGGAAGTTAGGAGTAAGTCAGGGAGAGAAAGTGTAGGGTAGAAAATATTATGCTTTTAAAAAAGATGTATGTATATGTTGGACCCAGTGCTGTGGCCTAGCAGTTAAAGTCCTTGCTTTGAACGCGCCGGGATCCCATATGGGTGCCGGTTCTAATCCCAGCAGCCCTGCTTCCCATCCAGCTCCCCGCTTGTGGCCTGGGAAATCAGTCAAGGACGGCCCAAAGCCTTGGGACCCTGCAGCCACATGGGAGACCTGGAAGAGTTCCTGGCTCCTGGCTTCAGATCTGCGCAGCACCGACCATTGCAGTCTTTTGGGGAGTGAATCATTGGAGGGGAGATCTTCCTCTCTGTCTCTCCTCCTCTCTGTTATGTCTGACTTTTCAATAAAAATAAATAAACTAAAAAAAATATATGTATATATATATATATATATGTATTTGCAAGTTAGAGAGTGAGGAGGAGGAGGAGAAGGCGAGAGGCATCTGCCATCCCTGGGTTTACTCCACAGTTGGCCACAATGGGCACGGCGGATGTAAGCTGAAGGTAGGAGCCAAGGGTTTAGTCCTGTTCCCCCATCTAGGTGCGGGCATGAGCTCAAGCAACTGGGCTGTCTTCTGGTGCTTTCCCAGGTACATTGTCATAGAGGTAGATTGGAGGTTAAGCAGCCAGGTCTCAATTTGGTACCCATATTGGGTACTGGCATCACAGATGGAGGGTTAATGTGCTACACCACAACACCTGCCCTATGTGCTCTTAAAATTATGTGTATGAAATATGTTAAGTTTTTCCCCTTTTATAAACAAAACAAGTTTTACAGTGCCATGTGTGAATCACAGGTTTTTTTTTTTTTAACCAAAAAATTACTTATCTTTTAATTCCTGTTTTCCATATACTTTTTGATTGCCCCTTTAACATTTCCTAGCATTTTTTGGTCTAAAATTTTTTGGTGTGTTTTTTTATTTGCTTGAAAGAGTTACAGAAAGGGAGAAAGATCTTTCATCTACTGATTGATTCCCCAGATGGTAGGGGTTGTGCTAGGCCAAAACTAGGAACCAGGAGCTTCATCTGGGTCTCCCGCATGGATGTAGGGGACCAATCAGTTTACTGTCTTTGATTGCTTTCCCTGGCAGATCAGCGGGGAGCTGGATTGGAAGTAGATCAGCCAGGAGTTGAACTGATTCGATTTCCATGTGGTATGCCAGTGTCTCAGGCTGTGGCTTTACCCACTAGGCCATGATGCCGGCTTCTCTAAAATTTTATTTAGTTGTATTTTCTAAGTAATTATTAGAAATATGGGCCCGGCGCGGTGGCGCAAGTGGTTAAAGGTCCTCGCCTTGCACGCCCGGGATCCCATATGGGCGCCGGTTCTAATCCCGGCAGCCCCGCTTCCCTTCCAGCTCCCTGCCTGTGGCCTGGGAAAGCAGTCGAGGACAGCCCAAAGCTTTGGGACCCTGCACCCGCGTGGGAGACCCGGAAGAGGCTCCTGGCTTCGGATCGGCATAGTATCGGCCCGTTGCGCTCACTTGGGGAGTGAATCATTGGACAGAAGATCTTCCTCTCTGTCTCTCCTCTCTGTATATCCGCCTTTCCAATGAAAAAATAATAAAAATAAATCTTTAGAAATAGAGAAGTGTCTTCTTAAAATTACTGACAGTCCGGGCCCGGCGCCGTGGCGCAAGTGGTTAAGGTCCTCACCTTGCACGCCCGGGATCCCATATGGGCGCCGGTTCTAATCCCGGCAGCCCCGCTTCCCTTCCAGCTCCCTGCCTGTGGCCCGGGGAAGCAGTCGAGGACGGCCCAAAGCTTTGGGATCCTGCACCCGCGTGGGGGACCCGGAAGAGGCTCCTGGCTTCGGATCGGCATAGTATCGGCCCGTTGCGGCTCACTTGGGGAGTGAATCATCGGACGGAAGATCTTCCTCTCTGTCTCTCCTCTCTGCATATCCGCCTTTCCAATAAAAGAAATAATAAAAATAAATCTTTAAAAAAAAATAAAATTACTGACAGTCCACAAAAGACTACTCTGGAGTAATTCTCTGTTTAAATTCCAAGTTTGATACTTAGTAAGATGTCTAATTTTAGATAGAAAGTCCTTTTTTCCTAAGGGTCAAGAGTAAACAACTTGCAGCTAGCCATCATAGAGAATAAATTATCAATCACTCATGTGATTTGCTTGGATAGTGTTCATACAATAAGTTACTTACATGTGGTCTTTTCATTTTCTTTATATAGGTATTTAAAACGATTTAAAGTCATGAAACCAAAGGTTTTAAGGAGCTGGTGTAGGCAAATTCTAAAAGGATTACAGTTCTTACATACTAGAACTCCTCCCATTATTCACCGGGATCTGAAATGCGACAATATCTTCATCACAGGACCCACTGGATCAGTGAAGATTGGTGATCTTGGACTAGCCACCCTAATGCGAACATCATTTGCAAAAAGCGTTATTGGTGATTGATTTTTTTTTTACAATTTACTGCTTGGGTATAAAGAAGTTTATCAATTGTGTAGGTTTACAACAGAGATCAGAAAACTATAGGTCATGGGCTAATCTGGCCCACTACTTGTTTTCATAAATCAGATTGTATTGAAACCACTACCATAGCCACTGTTTTATAGGTTGATTCTGGTTATTTTGGTACTACGATGACAGAGTTGAGTAGTTGTGTAACAGAGACTTTATGAATAACAATACCTACAATGTTTACTAAGTTATCCTTTATAGAAACCTTTCCTACTTTGAATTTTGTTTTGCTATATATGAGTGTATTGAAATATTTCAGAGATAAGTCTGGTATATTTCCTGTGGGATATATCCAGAAATATTTAAATGTCCTGAGGATTTAAGAAAATTTAGTTAATTGAGAAAAATTTAAACAACTAAAAAAAAAAAAGGATTAAAACGCACAGATTTTATTCTTCAGTGTTGTCTTGAGCAGTGTTGTATCTTATCTGTAAAGATAAGGAACAAATTTTAGGTGCTTTACATGAATAATAGAAAATATTTAACGAATTTCATACTTAATAACATTTACCGTTGGGTTGTAGAAAGTCCCACAGGTAATCTTCCCAACTAAAGGACTGTGGTCTTGCTGAATTCACCTTTTTGCTCTTAATAAAAATGTGGATGTGCTGCTATTTTGTAGGTACTCCTGAGTTCATGGCTCCAGAGATGTATGAAGAACACTATGATGAATCCGTTGATGTCTATGCCTTTGGAATGTGTATGCTAGAAATGGCTACTTCGGAGTATCCATACTCGGAGTGCCAAAACGCAGCTCAAATTTACCGCAAAGTAACGAGTGTAGGTATAATTTTACTCTTTACTTCACAAAATTCCATATTTCTTGTTGAAGTGGGTAAAGCTGATTCAGTCAAACCGAATTTTTGTCTTAATCCTAGAGTAGTGGTAAATTTGAAAAGCATAATGAAGCAAATTTTAGAATTGTGTAATGTGCCTACATACTCCTTGAGTCATATAAAATAACTGTATTACTTTCTTTAGGAAACTATTACTGATATTGTATTATTTATATCCATTTTTGAAGAGGTTTTAGTATCAAATGGACCTTTTCAGTTGAAAAAATTTTAATAATGTTTATCTATTTGAAAGAGAAAGAGTGAGATTGAGATTTATTTCTTATCCATGATTTTCTCCTCACATCCCTAGACCAAACTCCTAGACCAAAGTCAGGAGTTTGGAACTCTGTCCACAACTTGTACATGACTGGCAGGCAGCCAACCCCTTGAGCTGTCATCTCCTGCCTTTCTGGCTACCCATTAGCTGGAAGCTGCAGCCAGGAAATCAAGCCAGGACTTGATCCTAGACATTCTGATAGGAGCTGTAGTGCCTATTGGTGTTTCCATATGGCTGTCTATAGATCTTACTTTTCAAGGGTGGAAATAGAGATTGGCTGAATAGTTTTCAAGATGTTTTCTAGTTCCAAAAACCTTATTATGAAGTTATATTCAAAATACCGTTCAATAGACATATTCAAAATACAGTTCAATATTCATAGTATTTGAGGCTCTGCTATGAGTAATTTTTTAAAAAGAATCAGCAAGCAATGAAGTTCTGAGTAAGATATGTTTGCTACCCTCCAGGAATTCAAATTTCTAGCAGGTGAATAATATGAATTCATAGATAACTATAAATGAGAGAAGTGTAAGAAAGGTGAAAGCAACGTATTATGATTATTCAAAGGACAACTCCTTCATGTCCTGTTGAGTGCCTGTATGTAGGTCTTGAAAAAAAATTGTTACAGTGTTGCAGGAAACTAATAGGTACTGTTTTTTAAAATCCTGGTTTATTAATAAGAATAAAAATTGCATGCCTTCATGGGGTATAATGTAATGTATTGATGCATGTATATGATGTGGAATGAGTAAATCAATCTGGTTACCATATCCGTCTTCTCACCATTTTTTGTGTTGAGACATCTGAGGTTTGCTTTCCAAGTTATTTCGAAATATATAACATTATTATTGACTATAGTCATCCTGCTCTGCTGTAGATCTCCAAACTTACTCCTCTTGTCTGACTGGAACTTTGTACCTTTAACCAACAACTTCTCAATTCCTTCCTTTGTCCTCAGCCTGGGGTAAACACCCTGTGAGTCTGACTTTTTACATTTCTCATGTAAGTGAGATCATGCAGTTTCAGTCTTCCTGTGCCTGACTTGTTTCACTTAGCATAATGTCTTCTGAGGTCATTCATGTTGCAAATGAGACTTTCTTTTTTTATTTAAAGGTTAAATGCCCTTCCATCCTATGAATATACCTTAGTTACTGTGTTTACTCATCCCTTGATGGACTTCAGGGTTCTTGTGCATAGTCAATGAACGTAGGATAGTCAACACACTGATGATAATTCTTTTGCATATATACCCAGAAGTGAGATTGCTATCCTCACTTTATTTTTACTTATTTTGAGAAACTTCCATACATTTTATACAATAGCTGTACTAATTTCTGTTCCCACCAACAGCCTTTGTTACACATACTTGCCAATGCTCTTATGTGTCAGGTTTTTGAAAGTTTAGTGCTTTAACAGGTGTGTAAGTGTGTGTATAGTTCTTTAATGCGTGTTGTAGACCACATGATTTAATCTTTATACCTTTACAAAACTGAGCACCATCTTCAATTTACATATGATGAGATTGAGAGCAGAGTTTGTCAGTAGCCCAACTTCCCATATCTAGTGATTGTGGTAGCTTCTGATCCTGAAGTCTGTCCAACTCTGCAAAAGCTTGTTTAAGGAAATAATAAATAAGGCCAAAAAGCCAGATGTGAGATAGTCTGTAGAACAAATGACTTGCTTTCTCCAACAAATTCAATTCATGAAAGAAAAAGGGGGAGACACTTTATAGAATACAAGAGACATAATGGTAGTAGCAAGCTAGTAAATGTATAATGGGTTCTCTGCAATGCTGAAAAGCACTGGTTTTGAGAATTTTCTGCTTTTTGTAGTGTAAGTATTTCCCCTAAGACTGGTTTAAAGTTAAGCAGTGTGACTTCACTGAAGGCTGAACTGGGAAGAGATGTACCGTGACAATTATGTGTTTTTTACAGCATAAGATACAAACGACCTCAAAACATGCATAATGGTAAATTACAGTTGGGGAGGAAGGTTGTCAATAAGTATTATGTTGGCTTTTAATATAATGTTTTAATGGTAACTTTACATGATTTAACATTTTAAAATCTCTGTGTTTAACAATTGGCTTCCAAAGTTGTTGAAAGTCTGGTAGCTCTTGTGTGCTGGGGTAAGCCAGCTTCAGTGTGGCCTTCATGTTTGTTTGGATCCTGAATTGAATAAACTAGCTATTAAGACATAGTTCAGGGTCCAGCACATTGGCTCAGTGGCTAAATCCTTACCTTACAATGGTTGGGATCCCATATGGGTGCTGGTTTGTGCCATGGCTCCTCTACTTCCCATCCAGCTCCCTGCTTGTGTTCTGGTAAAGCAGTAGAAGTTGGCCCAAAGCCTTGGGACCCCGTACCCGCATGGGCGACCCAGAAGAGACTCCTGGCTTTGGATGGGCTCAGCTCCAGCCATTGTGGCCTCCTGGAGAGTGAACCAGCAGGTGGAAGATCTTCCTCTCTGTGTATTTTTCTCTCTGTAAATCTGCTTTTCCAATAAATAAATAAATATTTTAAAAAGAAGACAGAGTTCAGATAATTTTGTGAATTTGAGCATGAATTGAGGTTTAGATTATGTTAAGGAATTATTGATGATTGTTTTGAAGTGATATGAGATTTTTTTTTTTAAAGATTTATTTTTATTATTTTTCCATTGGAAAGGCGGATATACAGAGAGGAGAGACAGAGAGGAAGATCTTCCATCCAATGATTCACTCCCCAAGTGAGCCGCAACGGGCCGATACTAAGCCGATCCGAAGCCAGGAGCCTCTTCCGAGTCTCCCACGCGGGTGCAGGTTCCCAAAGCTTTGGGCCGTCCTCGACTGCTTTCCCAGGCCACAGGCAGGGAGCTGGAAGGGAAGCGGGGCTGCCGGGATTAGAACCGGCGCCCATATGGGATTCCAGGGGCGTGCAAGGCGAGGACCTTTAACCACTTGCGCCACGGCGCCGGGCCCGAGATATTTTTTTAAAGGACATGATGTATTAGAGATGTACACTGGATTTTTAAATTTACTTTTTGAAAAAAAAAATCTATGTAACTTGAAAGTCACAGTTACAGAGAGAGAGGGAGAGATAGAATTTTTACTTCCCCGATGACCACAATGGCTGAAGCTGAGCCAATCTGAAGCCTGGACCCAGGAGCTTCTTCTGGGTCTCCTATGTGGGTGCAGGGGCATGAGAACTTGAACCATCCTCTGTTGCTTTCCCAGGCCATAAGCATTGGTCTGGATTGGAAACCAGTGCAGCTGGGACTCAAAACGGCATCTATGTGAGATGCTAGCACCACAAGTAGAGGATTAGCTGCCTACCCCACTGTAATAACCCCACAAATAGAAAATTTTATGGACAAAATGATGCACTATCTGAGATTTGTTTTGAAACATTTCAGGACATGAAAAGTTTTGGAGTATTCAGCTAGACCAAGGTTAACAAAACATTGTTTTTTGTTGAAGCTGGTGATAATTACGTGGGACTTATTATATTCCTTGCATTCTACTTTTAAATGTCTGAATATTCCTATAATAATTTAGAAAAGGAGCTTGATTTTTTTTGGTCCATCTTTCTTTTTACTTAGTTACCTATATGTGTTCAGTTTTTACATATTGGTTTTTAGTTAAGTGAAAATCAGATAGAGATCTTTTATCCATCTTTACCTTATTCTCTCATTGCTAGTGCTGGGCCAGGCTGAAGCTAAGAATCTGGATTGTAAGCTCAGTACTGTTCTTCCCTGTGGATTGCAGGGACCCACATCCTTGGGCCATCACCATTGGTCGCCAAGGAGGATCATTAGCTTGAAGCAGGAATTGGGAGTAAAGGTGGAACTCAAATTCTGGTACTCAGATATAGAGTGTAAACGTCCTTATTGGCTTATTTTTCTTTCGAAAATATTTATTGATGTTGAAAGTCATAGAGACAGAGATTGGGGGAAAGAGAGAGAACTCTTTTATCTGTTACTTCATTCCCCAATATCCACAACAGCCAGAGCTAGGCCAGGCAAAAGCCAGGAGCCTGGATCTCCATTAGGTCTCCCCTATAGGTGACTGGAACTCCAGTTGTTGGTGCATCATCTGTTGCCTTCCAGGTACATTAGCAGGATCCTGCATCTGAAATGTGGAATAGCCAGGACTCTTAAGCAGGAACTCCAAGATGGCATTGTGCATTGTAAAGCATCTGCTTAACCTGTTGTACCACAATGCCTGTCCCCTACAGAGCATCTCAACCACTGTGCCAAAATACCTATCTCTTACCTGTATTTTGGAGGGACATAAATAATGATTTTGTAATTGAATTTATAAGTGGTAACTTCCCAACTATCTTCACTTAGTAGCAGAGAAAGAATAAATATCATGGCTGAGAATTGGGTAAGAAGTCGGTGGAAAGGTTGAAGATGTGTGTCTGTGTGTGCAGTGTTTTTGAATTTGGAGCCCCAGGTTAAGTCCTTACATTACCAGATTCATTTAATACAATACTGGCTTTCTGACTGTGTGTCTTGTGAGTCAGTTTGACAGGTCTAGAAGTAGATCTTCAATAATATATTTCTGCTTCCAGCCAAATCTGAAATTTTCTGTTAAGTTATGACAGTACTTTTGCATTATTTTTGTGATATTTAAAGCTCATAATTATAAGGTAGTAGAATATAAAATAAATAGATTCATACAAGTAAAATAGCTATCATAGGAATGCTTTTAGTTGTCCAGATATCATTTGTTATTGCATTTCTGGAGCTTGATTATTTCATTTGAGGTAAGTTTATCAATATGTTAGTATTTAAGAGGGAAATAAATAGATTTCTCAAATAGATTTGTTTCTATTTTAATTATACACATATGTAATTGGTTTCCTCTAGCTCTTCTAATAGGGTTTGAAATATAATGACTTGATTTCCTGAAATAGGAAAAACCCTATTTAGAATTTTCAAAAGGTTTTAATAACCTTTATTTTTTAGTAAAAGGCGAAAGATGATCTGAAGAGAAACATGAGTATAATTTTTTATTACTGAAAATATTCGTCTAATCTGTTTTGCACATTGGAAGTTTATTGTGTATTTAAGCAGTATATCTAACAATTATGGGAATTTTCGATGTGATAGGTTATTTTGAGTACATGTTAGTTTCCTTGTGATATTATTGTATTATATACATATATCTGCATACACATACACATAAATTAAAGGGCTTTAAAACGTTTATGGGAAATTTGCATTATTTTTACATTGCGCTTTCCCATAAATTTAAAATCTTATTTATTTCTTTGGGAGGTAGATAGACACAGAGAGCTTCCATCCTCTGGTTTCCTCTCCAGATAGCTGCAAGTAAGACTGGGCTGATGCCAGGAGATTGGAACTCAGTCTAGGTTTCCCCCTGAGATAGGGATAGAACTACCTGCTACCTGAGAGGCAACATTGGAATTAGGAGGGGAAATGAGAAGATTGGACATCTTAACAGGTACATATACTTGTCTTCCATGAACTTTTTGAAGCCATTTTGTATTTATAAAACATATTTAACTTTGCCTGTATTGTTGGAGCTTTTGATTAGTTCTGATTTTTTGACTTTTATTTGTAAAACTATGACAAAACTTGTCAAAAGTTATTAAATGTGTGTATTTTTATTATTTAAAGCTCAAACATGGCTTAGTGATAAAAATAAAATTTAACAAATGTCATATTGACTTGGCTTCCAATGGCCAAACTTGTGAGCAGCACTGTTTTTCTTTTCTTAGGGCATAAAACCAGCCAGCTTTAATAAAGTCACTGATCCTGAAGTAAAAGAAATCATCGAAGGGTGTATTCGTCAAAACAAATCTGAAAGGTGGGTGCAAGTGTAGTGAAATGATCTAAGTGATGTGAATGTATTTTCCTCTTCTTTTGCATTTGGTCATTTTCTCACTTTTTAATCATGTTAAATTTGACTTTTCACCAAAAACAGCCCAAGCATACCGTCTGGAATGAAGTGTGTCAGTGCATGTTCTTTACCTTTTTAGATTTTGATATCATGTTCTGATTTTTTTAGCTGACACTTGGGTTCTATTAATGTGTATATTTTCACTGTGAAATAATTGCAGTACCTTTAGCCATCAGTTCAATGGGTCCTCACAAGTTCATTACTTCTAATAGCTGACAGGGAATAGATTTTTTTAAAAAATATTTTTTTGTTTGTTTGTTTGTTTGTTTGAACGGCAGGTTACAGAGATAAGTGGAGAGAGATTTTGTATCTCTTGGTTCACTCCTCCCTCACTCCTCATATGGCTCTAAAGGCCAGGGCTGAGCCTCGCCAAAGCCAGGAGTCTGTTGCTTCCTCCAGGTCTCCCATGTGTATGCAGGGGCCCAAGTATTTGGGGCACATTGGTAGGGAGGTTGATTGGAAGTGGAACAGCTGAGACCTGAGTTGTCACCTGTTTGGCATGCTGTCATTGCTCAACGTACTATGTCACCACACTTGCCCCAACAGAAAATTTTTATTTAATATCCTTAAGTTATGAGAATGATAAAGATAATATGGATACTTTTGTTCAAGAAATAGTATTCTGTTTTTTTTCACAAAAAAATTTTGAAACAGTGGGGAAATCACAGAAACACTCATGGATAAAGTGGGAAGAGATGGGAAAGATTGGGAGAGATGTTACACTTCCATATGTTATGGATGCGAGAGAGATCACACTGGACCCAAGTGTAGGATGTTAGGAGGAGTTTTCATTTCCCAAGCTTGGTGATAGCAGCTCCCGCTACACTCCAGGAGCCACTGCACCAAGCTGCGTAAATCAGGGGTTTTTAAGCTCTCATCTGCCAATCAGATTGAGAGCCATGCAGTTAAAAAAAAAAGGTTTCAGGCAGGAAAGGAGTTACCAGAGCCCAAAGTTTTCCTATAGTTAACTAACATAATGTAACACAGCGGGAGGCAGGAGGGGATAGGTGCACAGAACTTCCGGAGTAATTTCTGCACTGTCAGTTGTTCTAAGTCCTCTGGAAGGCAGGAGGAGCAGGATGTACTTTACGTGCCTTCAATTAATTTGAATGGTGCGAGAGGAGGACAGGAATCCTAATATTCTTCTTTTTGTTTTTTTTAAGATTTGTTCATTTTTATTGGAAAGTCAGATCTAGAGAGAGAAGGAGACACAAATATCTTCTCCTTTAGGAACATGTGTGTCTGAGTCCCTGCTTTCCATTCTTTTGGATATATATGTATAGAAGTGAAATCGATAGATCACATAATACTGTTGCAATTTTTGAAGAAGTGCCATTTATTTTCTGGAGTAGTTACACCATTTTGAATTCCCTTCAGCAACATAGGGCGATTTCAACATCCTCACTAACACTGGCTTCTCTTTTCTAATAATAGTCATCCTAATGGATGTGAAGTGGTGTCTGCACATGGTTTTATCTTTTTTTTCTCTAATGACTAGTCATATAGAATATCATTTCGTGTGCTTATTGACTGCTTATCTTTGGAGAAGTGTCTGGTCAAGGTTTTTGCCCACTTTAATTTTGTTGTTGAGTTATACAAGTTTAGGTGTACTCTTTTTAAAAATAAGGCTAAAAATGCTATGTTGAAGTAGCTGTTTTAGCTTGGGTTCTGGTTGTGTGCACAACATTTTAATTATGATCCATTACCCATGAATATTGGAATCTTCTTAGTGATTCATGATATATTGGTATATAGGAAAGAGTACAGACTTCAGTGTTCAGATCTGGACTCCAGTGTGCTCTTGAGTGATGTACTTAGTTATTTCTCAAAATAGGTATTATTTTGATTACCCAAAGAGAAAAAATATATAAAACATACATTAGAGTAATGCACATTCAATAAATTATGTCTTCTGCCACTGTTATTATAATTACTCCTTAATAAAAACAGACAAAATTTTAGTAGGCAGAGGACTAAGCTTGGTTTTCATTGCTTCAAAACATCTCACATTAGCCCATGTTAGCCTAATTAACTGGTGTCAGATTAGTTTTCTAATGTTGTCTTAGTTACTAAAAATGTGGAGGTTTGAAAAATCTACTTACAGGAAATTGCTCTGTCTCTATGCTTTTTATATTTTAACTAATCCAAGAAGGGTCAAGGAGACTGCAAGGAAAAGGTTATGCATTTTTGCAACAAGTTTGTGAAGTACTTTTGTATCACTTTCAGCTCTCCCTGGACTATAGTACAGAGTAAATATTATATGCCTGTTTGAAAAGTTAGTAAAAGAAAAAGAAAGTTGCTCTAGCTTCTTAATATTTTACACGCAATCTTTATTTTTCTTCAGAGATGGTTATTTCCTAATATCATGCTATGGTTGTATGCTATAAATATTACCGTGACCTAAAACCAGAGTTCAATATGTGAAGCAAACCACTGGATGTTGTTGAGCCAAATGCAGCGCTCACTAAGGAGTGAAGTACACAGACTACACTATTGTTAATGGAGTCAGTGACTTCTATTTATAATATTCACATGAAAGTTTAACTTTGTAATTTACTTTGGAGTTTATATTCCTGGATGGGAAAACTTTCTTTTTCTAAATGTCTGTAGTCTCAATCTTAGCAACTTAAGTCAGTGTAGGGAAGCTAATTAATTCACTTAGCATGTAATGCAGTATTTCTCCAGTTCTAGCTTGTAATACTATAAAAAATTTTATTTACATTCATTGGAAATGCAGAGTTACAGAGCAGAGAGACAGAGAGAAAGATCTTCCGTCCACCTGTTCATTCCTTAAGTGGCCTCAATGGCTGGAGCTGAGCCGGTCTAAAACCCGGAGCTAGGAGTGTCTTCCATGTCTCCCACACAGATACAATGTCTTGAGGCTTTGGGTCATCCTCTACTTTCCCAGGCCAGAAGCAGGAACCTGGATGGACAGTAGATCAGCAGTGACATGATCCAGGTTTTAGCCACTGTGCCATCACTCCATATCCCCCTTGGCATGCTTTATATATATATAGTTGTGTTACTGGTAATTTTAAATTTTAGCATTCATTTTTATTTTCTTTTAATATTCATTTTCTTGTTATTTGAATGGCACAGAGAGGGAGTGGGAGAAAGATACATTAGGAGATCTTTCATTCTTGATTTCATTCCTCAAATGCCCAAAAGAGCTGGGGCTGGGCTACGCTGTAGGCAGCTTGTGTGCTCCCTTCTGCCTTCCAGGGACACATCGACAGGCAACTAGAATTGAAGATAGAGTTGGGCTCAAATCTAGGTGTTTCAATGTGAGATGTATGTTTCCCAAGTGGAGGCTGAAGCAGTATGCTAAATGTCCAACCCATCGTTAAATTTCAGTGGAGATCATTATGTGTGCATTTTAGTTTCGATTTCATTGTGTCTCTGGTAGTAAGATGGATATGAAATTTTGTTTAATATGGCAATCTATTAATTGCTTCATTAATAGAACATCTAAAATAAGGTTCACTTAATGCACTTAATTTTTTTCTGAATAAAGGATTGACATGATTAGAAGAATTGATAATAAGATATATACATTTTGTTCATTAGGTTGTCTATCAGGGACCTACTAAACCACGCATTTTTTGCTGAGGATACAGGATTGAGGGTGGAGTTAGCTGAGGATGATGATTGCTCAAATTCATCGCTGGGCTTGAGACTCTGGGTTGAAGACCCCAAGAAATTGAAAGGCAAGCACAAAGACAATGAAGCTATTGAGTTCAGTTTCAATTTAGAAACTGACACACCAGAGGAAGTAGCATATGAAATGGTAAGTAAATCCTGCTTTCCCATCCACCCTACTCCTTATAATTCCAACATTGCTTTCTGTTTTTTGCCCATTACTTTCTTTAAAAACATTGTTAGTATGAAATGCATATCTATAGCAGAATATATTAAATTTATACATATCATATAATGAATAATAAGAAACCATCTTTGTTAAGAAATAGATTATCAGTGCCTTGGAAGCCACCTGAATGTCCCTATCAGTTTTGTCCCTCTCCTTTACCACTGTAGGTAGTATTTGCCCTGATGTTGGGATATCTGGAGTCCATCTTTTCTCTGTCCTAAGAAGGAACTCAAGGACAAGATGTAGGTCAAGGTTACCGAAAAATAGCATTTGTTTTCCTGCTAATTGAAAGTAAACAATGAGGAATGAATGTAGGGAAGCTCAAGAAATAACTTCAGTAAGGTTTGGGATTGTCCCTCTATATGATCTAGAGGCACAGGGGTGGGATTAGGAGCAGGACTAGAGTACCATACCAATCATGCATATCCTAACCCTGTGTCAGTAATATCAGAAGTGACATGGCATTTAGAGGCATGATGGGATTGGGAGTGTTAGACATAGTATTATAATCACATTATAATGAACTCCCGGTCGTGGGGATGCAGAATGCAGTCATGTTGGATAATTTTAACGAGTGACAGTTCTAAGCAGCCACACTGTAAAAGCTTTGCTTTTCTGATTTACAGAAAGGAAGAGCTTTAACATTGCATGAAAAGGAGGATTTGGGTAGTGTATGGAAATGCATGTTTACATGCTACATGTTGTAGAGTTTTGGGGTGGTATATAGAAGGGGTGATTTGAGCAGCTTAGGCAAGGCAGTAGGGCAGGCAGAGCTACAGTGTGCAGGGATGAAATGGGCAAGGCTGCAGGGTTGGAAAAATTTAGTACCTCCTGGCTGGTGCTACTTCCTTGCCTGCATTAATGGTATTGTCTGATTAGTTGAAGAATCCCAGGAGAAGGTGAGCTGAGGAGTGTTTGTTGATCATCATTTGGCTCAGCTTCATCGAGAGCTGATGGGATTCACTTCTGGGGAACTCCAAGGGTCAGGCCGTGAATGAGTCTAGGACAACTAACTCGGCATGATCAGGGCAGCGGATCCAATGATGTGTCTACTCACCACGTGGTGTGGTGGGGAGTCGGACCCCCTGACTTTCCACTTCTGGTCTCCCCTCCCACCCTGAGTAGTAGGGCTGGCAGATGAGTACTGGGGGAGAGCTGCCAGGACACACCTGCTCCTGGCAGACACAGCACTGGCATGAGGGGGCTGTAGGAGCTGCTGCAGCTCATGGTCAAGATCAGCTTGGGACAGATTAAGCCAGGTTTACTTATGCATTCTGCTTTCAGGGCAGAGAAGGATGGAATGATTATGTTAGAAGTAACTAACTCTTTACTATCTTTCTAATATTGTCTTTGCTTCAATCTTGTACTGGACTTCACTTTCTTTGAACTTTTCTCTTTCATGGCTTACCCTTATTAGTGACATACATCTTATACTACCCTCTTTTTAAACATTTATTTATTTTTATTGGAAAGGCAGATTTATAGAAAGAAGGGCACAGAGAAAGATCTTCCATCCACTTTTTCACTTTGCAAGTGGCCACAATGGCTGGAGTTGAGCTGATCTATTGCCAGAAGCCAGGAGTTTCTTCCAGGTCTCTTAACATGGGTGTAGGGGCCCAAGAGCCTGATCCACTCTCTGTCACTTTTCCAGGCCACAAGCAGGGAGTTGGATGGCAAATGGAGAATCTGGGACACAAACCAGCACCCATATGAGTTGCTGGTGCTACAGGTGGAGGATTAGCATGATATACCACCACATCAACCCCCATGACAACCTTCTCTTAAAATTTTTTTTTAATCTGAAAAGCAGAGAAACACACACACACACACACACACACACACACACACACACACACTCAGCAGATCTTCAGTCCTCTGATTTATTCTTCCAAAGGCCCGCAACAGCTGGGGTTGGGATAGGCTGAAACCAAAAACTAAAAAAATCTTGGAATCCTCTACTGGATTGTCAGAGACCTGGGTATTTGAGCCATCATCTGTTGCCTGCCAGGCTGTGTATTAGTAGAAAGTTAGATTTGGAAAGGGAGCTGGAGCTTCAACCTGGGTATTAGAATATGTAAGCTAGGCATCCTAAGTGTTGTCTTAACCACAAAACAGATGGCCACTGCTCAAGAAAGTGCACATGAAAGATTCATTCTTTGAAACTTTCATATATTCAGATGTCTTTTATTTTTAAGGTTTATTTATGTTTGTATTGAAAAGGCAGATACACAGAGAGGAGTGACAGAAGATCTTCTGTCTGCTGATTCACCTCTTTAGTGGCTGCAATTGCCAGAAGCTGAGCCAATCCGAAGCCAGGATCCAGGAGCTTCTGGGTCTCTTCTGGGTGCAGGGTCCCAAGGCTTTGAGCTGTCCTCAACTGCTTTCCCAGGCCACAGGCAGGGAGCTGGATGGGAAGTGGGGCAGCCAGGACATGAACTGATGCCCATAAGAATCCCAGCACATGGAAGGCCACTTTAACCACTAGGCTACTTAGTGGACCCGAAAATGCCTTTTTAAAATCTTAATGTTTCATTGGTTGATTGACAGACTAAGACATTTTATGTTGAGATTTATTTTTTTTAAGTCATAGCTCTATGCTTTTTAGCTTTGTCCATTGCTCTTCAGAAGTCCAAAGCTGTTCTGATTCCTGATTTTTTCAATTTGACCTGTTTTTTTCCTCTGTGCATGTTTGTATTTTCTTTTTGCTCAGTATTCTAAAATTTCATAGTGATGTGTCTTGATTTGAATCTGTTTTCATCTACTGTGTTAGACCTTTTTAATCTGTCAACCTATATTCTGTAGTTTATCAGATATTTCTTGACGTATTTTGTTAATAATTTTTTATCCTTTGTTTTCTCTTCCTGGAATTGCTATCACTTGAATGTCAGGCCACTTAAGCTGGTTTCCCAATGTTGTTTTTTATCTTTCATTTCTTTGTTACTTGATTCTTTTCTTCTTACAAATGTTACCAACTTTATTTTCTAAGGCTTCCATTGAAGTTTTCATTCCTGCCCTCATATTTTACATTGAAAATGTCTTTTTGCTTTTTTGTTTCTTAGTTAAAATAAACATCTTGTTCTTTGTCTTATAGATGTTCTATTGCCATACCTATCTGTGTTAATGTTTTTAACTTTTTCCTCCCATTGTGGTCTCTTTTCTCTAAGTTACTGTTTTGTTTGTTTGTTTGTTTGTTTTGTGTGTTTGATCTTATTGTTAGAGGTTTTCTCCTGTTTCTTATCATTCTTGGCTATCTGCTTGTAATTAATAAGAGATTGTATTAGTTTTATCTTGGTGCTTAACAAGCTACCATAATTTAGTGCCTTGCAAATGTCCCATTCCTTCTTCAAAGCCAACAATGGCATGTCAGATTCTTCTAGTATCACCAGCTGGTGAAAGTTTTACTCACATAATCACCCTAGATTAAGCTCAGCTGTGCTGTATAATAGGCATGATGCCTTGTGATATTCAGTTTTGGGTGAAAGGAGGAAGTGTTTTTGAACTTCCATAATTTTGCCTGCCACATATAGTAGCTAAACTGGATATACCATCCAGATCGTTCATGTTGGACTTGCTAACATTGATCTTTACTGTAGGGGATCTGTGTGGGCAGTTCTTTGGGGGAATATCTGATAGCGGTGTTTATGAGTATCTCATTTTGAGTTGATCAGATTCCCCAGAGTAATATCTTTTAATATCTTTCCTGGGGGGTAAGAATCTGTTACTGAGATTTTGCTGGCCCAGGGGAGAAGAGTTGGTTTTTATTGTGTTTGACCTCCAGCATAATTTGGTCACTTAATAATCTAATTGTCAACATGGTAGCCACACCATCAACTCTAATTTATGTTCTGTAGTTCCTTTTGCCTTTTCCAGAGAAATATCCAGACATATGGGATAGTGATGGAACAGTCACCCAAAAATATGGATTGGAAAGTCAGATCAGGGACCTAATTAACCTCTTCTCAAAACCCATTCACTTTGTCTTCCCGATTTCAGCCATCTCTTTTGACTTTACCCTCAGTTCTGAAAGTGCCTCTTGCTGCTAGTTCTCGTACTTTGCGTATTCTTCAATATAAATGAAAATGGTTTTCAGTATTTCCTATTTCATTTTCCCACATCTTCTAGATCAGTTATAACTTCTATTTGTGTTTTGTATTTCCAGATGCCTTAATGTTTTTGTTGTTGTCTTTTTCTTATTTTCCCATTGTTTCTTTGTTGGTTTATAACTTAAAAATTTATTGAGTGGATTTACAAATTTTCCTCCTTTTCATAGGGTAAAAAGGTAAGCATATGTGCTCTATCATACGTTGTAATAATGTTTCATCTACTGTGAGATTTGTAAGAGTTAAGATCCATAAAACATGTATACTGTAACACTGAGAATGCTATTCCATGTTAGCTTCCTGAGTCATGTCTGCTGCTCAGCCTGTTCTACTGAGACACTATGTCAGAACCCTCTCCTTTTTTGCTTACTCTTCAAATGCTAGTATGTATAGAAACTTGCTGTGAGCATACGTTGTCTACCTAGAATGTTGACCTTCCTTAGTAGCTTGTACGTTCCTTTTACATCATATATATATGGTTTATTTGAATGAGTTATAGACACACACATACAGAGAATGTGAGAGAATGAATGAAAGAGAACATCATCCATCCATTGGTTTTCTCCCCAAATGTCTGTGATGCCTAGGGCTCCGGCAGGCTGATGCCAGAAGCCAGAAGCTTCTTCCAGGTCTCCCAAATGGGTTCAGAGGCCAAAGGGCTTGAGTCATCCTCTGCTTCTTTTTCCCTAAGCAGGAATCTGGATTGGAAGTAAAGCAGCTACTATACAAAGTAGTACTCATATGGGATGCTGTCCTCACGGACTGGCTTGACACACTGTGCTACAACACCAGCCTCCCTCTTTTTAGGCCCCCCCCCTTTTTTTTTTTGCCTTCCTCTGTGATACTTTCTGTATTTCCTTCAGAAGAGCATATGTTTCATCTGGGTAGCAGCTTATTTTATGTCATTTGATTCTAGGTTTGTAACTGGCTTATACCACCAGGTTGTGTGTTCATTCGGGACTAAGGATCAAACTCAGGCACCTGTAAATTTTTGGTTCCACTATTGGGCACATTATAGATACTCAATGCTGCTGAGTGAGGGAATCTTTTTAATCTTTTAAAAGAAGTGATGCCATCATACATTGTCTCTCATAAGGCTGTATGTATTGAGGCATAATATGTATGTTTCTATATAAAACCAGAATTATTTCAATTACACTTTGTGGTATTACTTATGTTTCGATTAGAGGCTGTGGCATTTATACATGTTTTTGATTATGAAAGAACACAGAAATAAATGAGGTGTTATTTAATGGAGTATGGAATCTGGGTACACAAAATAATTTTGCTAGTAAAGTAAGTTAAGATCTTACATGTTTAAGAAATAGTTTGCTTACTGTGTTTCTACCTTTAGGTCAAGTCTGGATTTTTTCATGAAAGTGATTCCAAAGCTGTTGCTAAATCCATTAGGGACCGGGTGACCCTGATAAAAAAGACGAGGGAGAAAAAACCTGCTGGGTGTCTAGATGAACGAAAGGATTCCCAGGGCCGGTGTAAAGGGAACGTAGCTCCTCAGCACAAGACTGCAACTTTGCCCCCTGCTCCTGCTCAGCATACTGGCACTGAATGTGAAGAAACTGAAGTTGATCAACATGTTCGACAGCAACTTACACAAAGGGCACCACCACAACACTGCTCCTCTGTTACTGGTAATGTACTTGGCATTTATAGAAGCAAACAAGCATAAAAGCATATTCCACTAGCTTTAAATAACACTTTTGTGTTTTTCAAATATTTGAAAATGAAATTTTTAAAACAAAGGTTTATTTTTATTGGAATGGGAGATTTACAAGAGAAGGAGAGACAGGGAGAAAGATCTTCCATCCACTAATTCACTGCCCAAATGGCCACATGGCTGTAGCTGCGGCAATCCAAAGCCAGGAGCTTCTCATAGGTCTCCCATGCCGGTACAGGGTCCCAAGGCACTGAAACAGCATCCACTGCTTTCCCAGGATACAGACAGGGAGCTAGATGGGAAGTAGAGCAGGCAGGACACAAATCAGTTCCTGTATGGGATATGGGCACTTTCAGGGGAAGGATTATCCTGTTTCAGCCACTGTGCTGGCCTTCACTTTTGTGTTCTTCAAAACATTCTTTTATCTTTCATCTCACAAGCTATCAAAAGCCCTGAGTAGGTCAGCTAGTTTCGTCCTTTTAAAATTGAGAAAATGTTCTGTTAGTGATTTGGACATCATATTCTTTGCAGCATTATTATCTGGCATGTTGTTTTGTTCAAGGAAGAAGTAAAATTACCTTATTCACAATTTTGAGGGTGTAGCTTAAAGCCTTTAATGAAGAAAATTTGGAAGTAAAGAATACAATTTCCCTAAGAAAAAATTTTGTGCCTTTGAGATCTTTTTATTTCATTTTGTTATTTTTTTTTTTGCTTTTTAAAGGTTGTTTTATGATACAGTTCTATAGGTTCTGGGATTTCCCGTCCCCCTCCTCAAGTTCCTTTCCCTATCCCATTGATTTCCCCTGCAGCATTAACAAAGGGTGGTTCTTCATGAACAGTCCTAAGTTCTTCATGCTGTTATTGGGGTAGTATTCTTTTGTAAAGACTTATTTATTTTGTTTGAAAGTCAATTACAGAGAAAGTTAGAGAGTTCTTCTATCTGCTGATTCTCTCCTCAAATGGCCACAACAGCTGGAAATGGGCTATTCCAAACCTGGAAGCCCATCTTCCTGGTCCTATATCGGTTCATGGTCCCAAGGATTTGGTCCGTTCTCTGGCGCTTTCCAAGGCCATTGGCTGGAAGCTGGATTGTAAGTGGAGCAACTCGGATTAGAAGTGGTATGCCTGTGGAATGCTGGTGCTTCCAGTGGGACACTAGCTACCATGCCAACTCTAAGGCCACATTATTTTCCTGGTTTTGTTTTGTTTTGTTTTTTTGTTTTCCAGACTTAGGAGAAGTTTCATTTCCCAAGTGATCAAGTGAATGTAGAAGGGAAGGGAAAGTTCCTCCCAGGGGGATCTGGGAGATGGGCTGTCTCTTCAAAGGAGAGATAGACATCCCCAAGCAGAAGTCTTTATTCCAAGATTCTAATAAAAAAGATAATGACACTTATATTTTATTGAAATTGTGAGGACAAATGTATAATTTAGATAAGAGTAATTATGTGATGGGCCCAGCACAGTAGCCCAATGGCCTGAAGTCTTTGTTTCGCACCAGTGCCGGTTCTAATCTGGGTGGCCTTGCTTCTCGTCCAATTCTCTGCCTGTGGCCCGGGAAAGCAGTAGAGGGTGGCCTAAGGTCTTCGGACCCTGTACCTAAGCAGGAGACCTGGAAGAAGCTCCTGGCTTCTGGCTTTGAATCTGCATAGCTGCGGCTGTTGTGGCCACGTGTGGATTGAATCATCAGATGGAAGATTATTCTTTCTCTCCTCCTATCTATATATCAGACTTTCCAGTAAAAAAAAAATCTTAAAAAAAAAAGAGTATATAGAGTTGAGTTTTATGCAATTTTTTTGCTTTTAGGTTAGACGTACAAAAAGCACTTTATTCAGCATTTCATTGTCTGTTGTAGAATTGACATGTGTACATGATGGATTTTTCTGCAAGTACCTATCTACTTCAATTGTGTCAGGTTGTCAGAATAAAAACAAAAAACATGTAAAAATTCTTACCATTAGCTATCATTATCTATACAATTTGGATATTGTAATTTCAATTTCCTGTTGTTTGTTTCTTTGTTACAGGTGACAGTGTGTCTGAGGCAGGAGCAGGAGCAGGAGCAGTTACACGTTCAGATACATCCGGTCAGCCCAGTATAGCCTGTTCCCAAAACCAGAAGATGGTATCTCAAATGGGTTCTAACACCGCACAATCTGAAATGAATATTCCAGGTCAAATTTATCCATCTCAACAACTAGTGGGACACTACCAGAACATTTCAGGGGTAAGGTGTACTGCTATCTTTTAAAATATGTAATCAGTATATTTAATTCAAGTGAACAAGGCTGTCTTTAATGCCATGGTTTTTGTTTGTTTGTTTGTTTTTGTTTTTTCCCTCTTATTTAGCAGTTGCAGAAGCAGCCAAATTCAGCTCAGCTCCCAAATTTGCCTTTGGTTCAAGGTCAATCCACTGTTTTGCCTGTACATGCCCTTGGATCTACAGTCGTTTCACATCCTCAAATTTCTCCTTTAAGTGCCCAGAAGGTTTCACAGGTAAAGGTAAGACATTTTCTGAGGCTCTCTCTTCATTTAAACACATTTGCCTTGATCTTAGCCAAAAGGCTGTGAAAGTAATAACGTTTAAGCAAATTTAACATTACCTATATTTTGTGAGAGGCAAAGATTCCTTTACTTTCATTCACCATAGTGTAAAGGTCACTGAAAGTTGAAAGTTGCTTGTTTTTCTTCACCTAAGACATTCTTCCTGACTATGTGCTTAACATTGTGTAATTAGAATCTTGAGACACTGCTTGTATAATTAAACAGAGAACTCACTGTAGGGACAAAAGGTTTATTTAGCACTTGGAACTCTTCATATTGGTAATGATAGTTTGTTCTTTATCTTGAACTTTTCCAACTTTGTGCATGGATGGTTGTCTGTTGTAGTTAATTAAAAATAATATTTAATAGACTTGTACAATTTTCAGCATGCTCACCTAAATTCTTGTTTTGGTTCATTTTTTTCTTAAGAGAAATGAGATGTGTTTTTGTCTTTCAGGGTGATCTTTTTCTTTTAAAGATTTATTTTTATTGGCAAGTCAGATTTATGCAGTGAAGGAGAGACAGAGGGAAAAATCTTCCATCCACTGATTCACATCCCATGTAGCCTCATCATTTGGAGCTGAGTTAATCTGAAGCCAGGAGCCAGGAGCGTCTTCTGGATCTCCCTTGCAGGCGCAGGGCCTCCAAGCTTTGGGCCATCCTCTCTTGCTTTTCCAGGGCACAGGCAGGGAGCTAGATGGGAAGCTGGGCCTCTGGGACATGAACTGATGCCCATTTTGGATCCTTTAGGCACTAGACTATTGCACCGGGCCCTTTCAGGGTGATCTTAACGTGAGTGTTATGTATTTGTGACAATGAGGAAACAGATCAGTAAGGGTCTATATGTACCCTTGTTCCCTAGGTTGTGGACTCTGTAAATGGTATTGAGCTTTTCTGTGCCATTATCCTGTTTTTTCCTCTCCCCACCACCATCACCTACACGTACGTTCGGGCTGGGACTAAGATGGTCTGAGCCCCTACTTGTTCTCTGTTAGGTAGCTGCTGATACATCTCTTTCCTTGCATAAGCACCAGGAACTGTGTTTGGCCTTTGGAGAAGATGGACAGACTTCAGCCCAACCCATAATTTTAGACTTTCAGTTACTGGAGTTCCACAATCATTCTTCTCTGCACTTTCTCCTCCGATATTACCTGCTCCACAGATGACCTCCCAGCATCCAGTAGTTGAGCCTGACCCTAGAAATAGGAATCTGGCATAAATCAAAGTACCAGATGTCAATTTCACTTCAAGGTTCTAATTGGCTAATCACCCTCCAGCTTTGTCAGATCATTCCTCTGCCAAATATGTGAACAGTGCACAAAATGCTATTGGTATGCTTAGGTACCTTATATTTCCATTAGGGGACACTCAATGTCACAGCCATACCCATTGTGTATCAGGAGTCTGTAACTCTAGATTTTGCAATGCCACAAGGCTAGATTTTGCATTTGGAAGAATCTTGTTTCCAAGCCTTTATGAAGCAGCAACCATTATTTTTTCAAACTAAGGATGCGGCATCACTACAAAAAAATGTTCAGCAGGACTGTCATCCACACAAGTCTGAAGCTGCTACAAGTCAGCAGTGTGAAAGCCTGGTAATAAAAGTGTGATTTAGCCCCCATAAAGTCCATCTTACTCTGTTCAACACACTTTTCCAGGGCCGCTTATAGAACTACTGCTTTTCCCATTGAAGGCACCTGCGCAACTGCCCTTCATGGTACATCCCCTGTAGCAGACTCCTTATTCATCTCAGCCAATTTACCCAATCCAGGCTCCAGCACAGTTTGTTTATTCTTTGCTAGCCCTGGAGCATCCTGTTTACACTGTACAACCTCTAAGAGTTATCCAGTTCCACCTGCAGGACAGCCCCATTATTTGGCACCAGACCAATGTCAGCCTACTTGGCTGTCCAACACATGGTTGGGTCGCCTTTTTTTGACCAGCCAGCATATGCAATTCTGGCAGCTTATGCTGTGTAACTATGGAACAGCCACACTTACCAGATACTGCCTCTTGAGCATGTCTCTTATTCAGGACAAACTACTTATAGCATCCAAATAACTGAACAGATAACTTTTTTGACTCAAGTATTGTATAGAATAATCCCTCCTACTAGCACTCTAATACACAGTACAAACTCTGCTGATCAGAAGTTGTGTTCTGAATAATCTTTCATAGTATGTGTGCAATAAACTGGTTTAACACAACCACCTGGTAGTACTACTTTAATGTTGGAACACAAGTGTTTTTAATATCAACTTAACACACACGCACATATTCCACTGAACTATTGCTTAATGTGTAGCACTCAGTGGCTCTATCTGAAACAACTTCCAGTTTTGCTCAGGCTCAGTGAGTTAGTTCTTTACTTCCCAGATGGCTGTGGAAGGACAGTGTCAACCCCCTGGGCAGATGTCCTTCATTTAGCAGTCCTCTTCCCAGGCCCAGAGCCAGCATTTCTCAGCACAGCTCTGCTAATCACATATAACACCAAGCCAGGTTTCTCATTCAGATTTCATTCAGCATCAGCAGATGACTCATTCATCTAATAAGCAAGCACAGAAAACCTGCCAATTGTCTACTCAAGAAGTTTCCATAAATCAATAGCTGTCTGTATAGCCAACATGCTGTTCTTCTGCAGCAAATACTGACTCACAGTCTCATAGCCAAGTTCAGCATTACTTGGTATTCCAAAGACTATTACAGACATGGCTCTGGTTATACCTCCTTAAAAAAAAAAAAAAAGATTTTTCTTTATTTGAAACAAAGAGCTACAGAGATAAGGAGAGACAGAGAAAGAAAGATCTTCCATTTGCTGGTTCATTTCCCAAATGGTCACAATGACCAGAGCTGAGTCAATCTGAAACCAGGAACCAGAAGCTACTTCCCATATGGGTGCAGGGTCTCAAGGCTTCCCCAGGCCATAAGCAGGGAACTGGATGGGAAGTGGAGCAGGCAGGACATGAGCCAGCATTCATATGCAGTGCCCGCATTTGCAGGTGGAGAATTAGCCTATTGAACCACCACATTGGGCATCAGATTATACCTCTTTTGCAAGAACAATTTACACCAGGCAGCAGTCAAGCAACAATTTGTAATGCGCTCTTTAGAACAACCTCAAATGCTTCAGGCATTAGACAACAAACTTTCCCTCTAGAGGAAAACCCAGCAGGGCACAAACTGGCATGTATCCAGCTGCAGTCTGCTGGCCAGCCACAAGACAGCCATCTTCTAGTTTAGCACCTGTTTCTGGATCATTAGAACCACGGTTACTACAACAACAAACTCTTTGTTAAAATTCTGCCCGTCCAAATCAGCTGTCTTGTTCTATTTATCCCCTAACGCCTTGCATTCCACTACCAGCTTCTTTTGCCTTTCAGAGCATTTTTGTGTTACAGACACAGCAGCATTTGCAAGGCTAAGAAATTCCAAAGGTAAATCCTACTGGGGAAAATGTGAATGATTGTAATTTTTTTCTGTATTATTCTAGGGTCAGGGAGACAGTGAGCTATAGTAGAAATGGCACTAGATTGGAGGTCACACTTGGTATTCCTAGCTCTTTTCCTAACTTACTGGGTGAGTTTGGTTCAGGCCCTTTCTAAATTGCCTCATCTGTGTAATGAAGGGATTAGGCCAGATTATCACATCAAAACTATTTGAGCACCTGCTTTGGATATCCATGAACAAAATGTAAAAATATCTTCTGTCCTTGAGTTTAGTTACCTGAGGGCAAAGGATTATCAGTAACCACTATTAGTATCAAAGGTGGCCATCCAAAGTAGGTCTCATTGAGAATGTGACATTTGAGGAAACTATTGAAGGAGGCGAATCAACAGTGTATGTTCCTTCACACAGAAGGAATAATGCAAGCAGTGTTCCTTGTGAAAGAGTGTGTCAGACCTGTTTGAAGAACACTGAGGAAGCTACTATATTTTTCTAAGATATCTTAGTCCTTAAATGTTAGGAGCCTATTTTCTTATTGTTTTACATTTATAATCACATCTACCTTTGTGAGTTAGTAATTAAATCTGCCATTATTTTTAAGTTTTAATTTTTTATTATTTATGACAGAGAGGGAAAATATCCCATCTGTTTACTTGTTTTCCCTGCTTGTTTTTTATGGATTGTTTATATCCCTGCTTGTTTACATGGACTATCAGCAGCAATCCACGGCTAAGACCTTTACTGAGAGCTGGGGACTCAGTCTAGGTGTCTCTTAAGATAGCAGAAGCTTAATTACTGGAGCCATCACCGCTGCCTCCTAGGTCTAAACTAGCAGGAAATTGGGTTCAGGATCAGGAATAGGAATAGCCCTTATGTATACTACCCTTACGCAAAGCCTAGGATGGCCTATCCTTATCACTGTTTTACAGATTAGGAAATGGGCTCAGAGATGTTAAGTAATTTTTCTCATGTCATACAGGAGAGCCACAAGAGAGAGCTTTTGACCCAGACTACCTGGCTCCAGAGGCTGTGCGGTCAGAATTATACTCTATCGCCCTTTTGTAAGATGATTATCTTCCCTGCTGGAACTAGAGGAAAGGGTATGTTAGGGTGACTTCACTGAGATTTAGTTAGCTTGTGGACTTGATCGAGTTCATTAAGTCAGGGTAGGGGAGAGGCAGCAATTTTTTTTTTTTTGTTATTCTGCTCTACATACATAAATATTTACAGAAGACTCTAAATGTATTGGGTTTAGATAATGAAACAGTTTGAGGTACTTAAATAAAAGGTATGCTATACTATACAAATTATTGTATGGTGATGATCTATTACTATTATAAACATGTTTACATTAAATACTATTGTTTTATAAAATCTTCATGAAGAGCACACATTATAATGAATTCTGATACATACATACTAAGAATTGAGCAAGATTAAGTAAATATTAAATATCTTTGCAGATAAAGTTTCTTCAGATGGACCCTATTATTCCAAGACTTGTTTCTTTAGAA